ATGTGCACGGTACCCCCCCCCGCCGCCTCCATTTCATCATCAGAGGCCTTCAGGAAATGCCTCTGCAGCTGAAAACAAAGCTCCAAATTGATGTGCACGAGTGGCAGTGAGCAGTTGCAGAAAAAGTGTGCTGGCTGGGCAGGCTGTCAGTGCCACCGCTACGAGGTGAGACCATGGAAAAGACATCCCCCCAAAATAAGACCTGGTGCCTCTTTTGGAGGGACAGAAAGACCAGATCTTATTTTTTGGAAAATATGGTACTGACTGACAGACATTCCTCTTCTGAAGCAGAATTTTCACTGGTGATTTATATGTCTTCCAGAACCACCTAGGAATATTTCTGCCAGGACATCCATTATAAGGGATGGACTCTGTATCATCTCATCAGTGGTTGAATGATGCTCTAAATCAGGCATGTCAGCCCATAGCCTACAGGCCATATGCAGCCCTAGACAGGTATTAATGTGGTCCCACAAGATTATATGTTAACATTAATATATGATTTTTACATTTATCTATATTATCTATTTTATATGTGGCCCAAGACAATTCCTCATCATTCAATGAGGCCCAAGCAAGCCAAAAGGTAGGACACCTGCTCTAAATTTGTTGGAATACATGTTAGGATGTATTTTGTATTGCAACAACCACAGAATTGTTCAGCCAGTAGATGGCAGTGCTTAGTTTGCATCTATGGTTATAATCTATGGCTCTTTATGATCTGAGGAGAGTTACTTGTGACAATTGAAACCATTAAGAAGCAAGGCTCACGGTGATAGTACAGTGAACATTTTATTGGATCTGTATGGCTATGTAACCATCCTCTGCTACCAATCTGCATGGCTATATAATAATCCTCTGCTACCATTTTTATAGAATAAAACACAATTTTCTAACAAAATTATTCATGAAAAATGGACTAAATCTTAGTTTGTGTTCTCAAACCACCAGAAATGCAGAGCCAAGTCTTACGTAACTGTGGTTTCCATAATTTCAAGTAGCCCACAGAAGGTGTAGAAGCTGACTAGCTGATTTTATTCCAACCTTTTGAAAATTGCTGTTCCTAAACTACCCATTTTCTCATTTTTTATTTTTTATTTTGCTGTGAGATGTTATTGTTATCTGCTTTTATTTTTGTTGCCTTGCTTTAAGACGAATTTAAGAAGCAGGGATTATTTCATGGAAAGGCAGGATGTGAATTTTGAGAAATATATAAATAAATACTTGGAAGAAGCCGTCTCCAGTTGGCTGGATTCACACAAAATATTGTACACTCAGTTTACAAACAAAAATGCTGGGTTCATATAACATGCAAAGCCATGTTGGACCGTACGTTAGACTACACCATGCTTGTAAAGCCAGTCATTGCTTTAGGGGGAAAAAATACTCCTTGAGCTATCTTAATTCTCTTTATTGATGCAAGGGCTCGTTCTTGTCTTCTAGTAGTGGCAGCAAAAGATGCCTTGCCTTGAAATAACATCCCACATAATGTTGCTTTTGTTTACAGCCCACACACGAGGCAGTTTAAAGTAATCTTTTAAAGAAGAATTTCCACCCTTCTCTCCCAACGCTTGCTATGAACACAATCTCCAATGCTTCATCAACAGCATGGTTGCCCAATATTGTCAAATGTTGGGATCTGGCCAGCTCCTAGCAGTTGTTATGGGGACACATGGACCTTTGGGCTCCTGAATACTTTCCCATAGGTTGTCCGCTTTGTACAGTAATAAAATCCAGTTTTTATTTACCAATTCTCTAATTACACAGAGTTGATCCATGAAATCTGTTGGGTAAAAAGCCTTCCTTCCTCACTTCTCTGCCACGTTTAGTGGATCTTGCCATTCATCCCCAGGCTATCAGAGTTGGAGAGAATAAAAGTGTGAGTTACTTTTTAATACAGCTTTAGCCCCAGTCTGAAAAAGATAGACCACATTCTGGCTATTTTCAAATATAAGTTTAGTGCCCTTTAAGAGTAGTGCTGAACTTGTAGTTACACATAGCCTGACAGCTGATCCTGGAAGTAGACTGCTTCTTTCATTTCATCTCTCGACTACTACACTATCCCTGTCAAGCTTTTTTTTTAACAATTTATAACCTTCAGGTTTATGTCTTTAAAACTAACCTGGAACAACTACAATACCATATCCAATAAAAAAGAAACAGCAGGAAACGTTGGCAGCAATACTGCAAACCATCAAAAATAACTACACACCACCTGCCTGAGGAGGACTCAGGCCTCAAACCTCCTAATGGCAATAGTGATGAAGCAAACTTTTGCTACATTCCTGGAAATCTCAGCTGGAAGGGAGGGAGGAAGGAAGGAAGGAAGGAAGGAAGGAAGGAAGGAAGGAAGGAAGGAAGGAAGGAAGGAAGGAAGGAAGGAAGGAAGGAAGGAAGGAAGGTAGGTCATTTCTGCCCAAATCATGGCTGCAAGTAGGAATATAAGCTTCAAATGCCAAACATAATAAAATATGCAATGGAGAAAAATGTGTCATACTGACTCAGTAGCAGCAGCTGAAGAGATAGGTATTCTCTCCATAAGGGATATTATGACATCTTATCTCCATCAGCATCAAGGGTAAGGCATTAAGCCTTGCTAGAAGAAGGCTTGCGCATGTGTGGGAAAAAATGATGTTGTAAAAATTGGAGGCAGGGTCTCAAAAGAGTTGTAAAACAGATCCTTGCAACAATGGAAAGGAATTTTACTGCCATCATTTCTTAGGTCTTTCAAATCCAAGTGACTTTGACTCTGAAAAAGAGATCTTTAGCATTCTGCCCCAAATACAAATGAACTTAGAATAGATACTATACTTAAGTAACTAAAGTAACCTGAAAAACATCTGACCTGCAGTTGACAGGTGGAGGGGAGGAATCATTTGGTGAAGTGGAATATCTCCTGTTCCACTGCACTAATTCCCTCCAATCTCTGATAGCTGTTTTTCAAGTCGGCTGGCAGGTGCTGTCAGAAAGCATTTTCTCCACTAGATTTCTGATTTCACAAATCAATTTTGGGCATTTAAGACCAGGAAGTAAGGGGCCAATTTTCCCACATAGTTCTCTTGCCATCCTGATAGCCTAGGGAACATCTGACAGGGCTGAGGGGGGGTGACAGAAGAAAAAGTGAAAGACATTTCTTTAGTTGTCAGGTCTCCCATCACCCATCTTGTATGATAACCTCATCCACCAAAAGGATCAAGTCTCTTAGTCCTGGGTTTGACAGATGGTTAAACTGGCAATCCTTCAAAACTCTCCACATCCTCTGCCCTCGCACACGAAGGAGAATATTTGAGAGGTATTTTCTCACTGGTTGGTGACATTTCATGGGAAGGGAAATGAAGATGAGGAGTTTATAGGACATGACTAGGCTGAGCCCAAGGGAGGGGTCAAGTACATCATTAGTCCTGAGTCCCTACATGCCCACAAGAGATCTAAGTCCAGCCTACCTTGAATTCCATTGACTCTTATCTACCACCAATTGGCTTTGACCATTATTAGTTCAGATTCTTGTTTAAATGCAGCATAGAATAAATTTGTTCTTATTTGAACAATCCTGGTTCCTGATTTCTTGTGCCTGATAGAATCCTTTAGTCAGTTTCCTTATCTTGTCCCACATTAAAACAATAAAGGCATCACTACTTATTGGCCTCACTACTGGGGCACAATAGGGCTTGTCAATCAAAGCAAAACAAAGTATGCCAACCTTCCTTCTCCTTGCCTCAAGGACAGGAAGGCAGCAAGTTACTGGTACCGTGAAGAAGAGTTCAGAATGTTCTCTAATGCCAACACTTTTCAAAATGTCAGAGAACTGCAAATTTGGTAGAAAAAAAATGTTTAAAACACCTTTTCATTTGAACGGTTGCTGAGAACAGATGTTGACTCACAGTTTGAAGGCAGAATGGCAAAATGACAAGGCCCAGGGTGCTGATTTACTGTTCTCACCCATTGCTTTTCTTACTGATTTATGACAACACGGTGGAAATGCCTTTGAAAGAAGTCAATTCACCTTAACAAGTAAAACTCACCCATCTGCTACTTTAAAAAGTAAGAACAACTAGAGGATAGGAAGCACCCGGAGTTGTTACTACTGGAAAGACTCATTTAAAAGGAGCTGGAACATTAAGCTTTGTACTTAATACTGGATCCATTTCATTACATTCTTTTCATCAGTGCAAAACTCTAATCCACTTAGGTTTACCTTTATATGTGTAAGGAGATACCAGAAAAAAACACTCTCTGGAAATGCAAACTGTCTGTCCAGTCTCTTTCAATAACACATTTACTTCACTTTTTGAAGGACCTGTTGATTGACTGATATGTGAGTCAAAGCAAAACTTTTACAAGAGTACAGTGTTTTCAAATCTATCAACATCATGCTGCCTAGAATCCGTTGGCTACTGCAAATTAACTGTACAGTCTTATAATAGAAAGGTTGGACATATGGCTATATACTCCCACAATGAAAGGACAGGAATTGGGAGTTTTGCTCAAAATTGTATCCGGAGTCCTTTTCTTTCTATATACAGCTATATTGTGAAAAAGGAAAAATAGTACTGTAGATATCCAACTGTGTATCTAGTACTAGCTACAATGGCTAAGGCTAGTGAGAGTGAAAATTGAAAAGAGTTTGAAGGCAATTGGTTGCCTGTTCCTTCTCTGAGTATATCCAGCATTAGAAATCATCCTACATTTATTATAAAGACCTGGAAAAGGTTTGTGAATGCACAGAGCTCCTGTCCTCTGCAATCAAGATTCCTTTTAGCAGGGCGCATGTTGTATACAGAGCCAGCTATAACTTCTTATAAATCCTGTACCAATCTTTTCTATAGTAACTCTATTATAGCTTATAGTTATAACAATATAAACTAATGCAAAACAAAAAAGAAAAGTAGAAGTGCAGAAAAGAGAGAAATAAAAATAGAAAAATTAAGATAGAATAGAAATATGTACATATAAAATCACTTCCCCCTTCATCACAAGTATAAACAGTTTTAGTAACTTACCATCTTCTCTTAGAATGCAACAAATGATCTCCTCTTCCCATATCTCATCTCTTATCTATAAACAAACCCATAACGCCTTGTCATTTCAGTCCTGATGTCAGCAAAAGTCCATAAAGAATTACCAGAGATAACAATATTTTAACCATGATCAAACAAGCCAACTTTGTATTCTTTCCTTTTACTTCTAACAATCTTGATCTTGCATCTCTTCAAATACTGTCCTAGAATTTGATTTCTTTTCATTTTTTTCTTTGTCCCTCCCTTTTCACAAAATTCTTCAAAGCTTTATCAAGCCTTAACAAGCCTCTTTTGTAAATCCAAGAAAAAAAAACTATCCAGGTCACGGTCTCATTTTTTTATTTATTTATATATGTCTTTTAGTTATTAAGATATCAGCCAGTTTATTTTGTATGCCCAGTAACATCTTTTTCCATGTCCTTCTTTTAATCTATCATGTTTAATCCAAGTAGTCTCAATCTTGTCAAGTTAAACTTGTTCCTCTTCCATAAGAACTTTTATGTGACTTTTAAGCACAGTCTATCTACAGAGCCAAATACCCTTAAAACTAATTTCTGGGCCCAGATTTCCTTCAATATGTTCAGTCATTCTGTATTTGTAACTCAAGTTTGAATGTAGTTCTCCTTTAATCAGAATCTTTAGTTTCCTATAGTTTCCTCTAGTGTCCAATTTTTAAATCTTTTTTAAAAAAAAAATTTTTTTAAAAAAATATTTTCCAATGGAAAGGATTCTTTATAATTAAAGAAATTAAAGTTTCCAAAATCTTATTTCAAATTTATCTGGGCTCTTAATCTATTTGTAGCTTTCCAGTTTCAAAGTTTTAATTGCCTTTTTGCTGTTTATTCCCAAAAAATATTTTGTTAACGTCCTTAAACTTGTATTTAAAACTTTTTTTCACTAAGGATTGAAGAAACTCACCTAGTATTGTCAAACCTGTCCATCCAAAGGTCCCTAATAACTGAAAAACTGTTAACAAGCAATTTCCAAAAGTGATTAGAAAAGTAAACATGCAAAATTAATGCCCTTTCAAAAGGGCCATGTACAGTTTGAGCAAAATGGCCATTATCTCATCTCCCAGAGCTCTAAACCCACCAGAAACTGGTATCTCTGGAAACTGATTTTTGCAGAATTGTTTTCAGTCTACCATTTCTTCCCCAGAATTCCATAAATCTTTTACCAATCTCAGTGATAAAGCACAAAGACACTGAAGATAGTGGGGTGAATTAGAGGATAATAAGGAAAGACTTATATCACAATCACAGGCTTCCCCAATTTGGTCTATTTTTACTGCAGGCAAACATCTGCATAGAGTAACATACTCTGTTCATCTATCGTGGGCCTGAAAATGTTACGATTTAAAAACTACCATGATCCACCATAAGTTTTTTTTTCTGAAAAGCTTCTTTTGTCTGATATCTGTTTTAAGTCATCAAACTTATCATCCTCACACCAACCTTTAGCAGACATTTTCTACACAGTAGGTGGGAGTGGAAAGTAAAATGCTTTAACTATCTGCATGATGAAAATTAAGTGCATACAATCTTGCCCCAGCAAGATTGAAAAGTGCTGATTAACAAACTTAGTTTATCAAGCCTAGGACCTAAGCTTGAGAGGGGGGGAGGGAGGGAGAGAGAGAGAGAGAGAGAGAGAGAGAGAGAGAGAGAGAGAGAGAGAGAGAGAGAGAGTTTGAAGTTACAATGGCACTGAATAAAGTGATTTATGACTATTTTTCACACAACCATTGCAGCATCCCCATGGTCACATGATCAAAATTTGGATGTTTGGCAACTGGATCATATTTATGACGATTGCAGTGTCCCGGGGTCATGTGATCACCTTTTGCAACCTTCTGACAAGCAAGGTCAATGGGGAAACCAAAAGGGCTTAACAACTGCGTTACTAACTTAACAACTGCAGTGTGGCAAGAAAAGTCGTAAAATGGGACAAAATTCTCTTAACAACTGTCTCGCTTAGCAGCAGAAATTTTGGGCTCAACCGAGTCATAACTCAAGGGCTACCTGTATTTACATCACATATTAACCATAACAATAAATTCTTAAATATTAGTCCCCTTCAGAGCTTATATGGCAATAGCTAATCATCTACTCTACATGGTGACCTGGAACAGACCAACCTTTTGCCAAAGATGTGCCAACATGCAACAGCTTATTAATTAGGAGGAAAAGCAGCAACTTCGTAGCCTCTCAGAAGTTTAAAGAAAGAAAGAATATTTCTTCTTCATCTTCTGCTTAAGATTTTTTCTTGAACACCCACAGCATGGTTCCATTGAATTTGCATCAAAAATCAAAGTTTTATTGGTTCTTCCATTTCACAGAACAGAAAACATGAAGGGGCAATTAAGATAAAAGCTAAGTAGCCCACTAGGAATGCTAGCAGAGAGATAACAGGGATGAACTTTAATTTGGGGTGGGGAGGGGTACAAATCTCTGTCTGTGCAGGCATGTTAACGTAGAACAGAGAAGCTCTATCACTTAACACTAATTGCACAGCACATTGGAAATTCCTACATCAGCTACTTAACAATCACGGCACAGTCAATAACTTTTATTTGATTAAACCCGTTGGCTGTAAATGGGACTTATTCCACCTCTGTTGGGCAGAACTGTTATAATTCGGAGAATAACAAATATTGCACTCCAGAATATCACTGTGTTCCCTCTGAGGTATCTCAGGCAGACTAATGATTTTCATTTCAGATTTTCATTTCACTCTCCGCTTCTCGTTGCTGTGAGGGTTTTGTGCTAACCATAAAATGCTAACCAAAGCAAACTGCAGTTTTAATACCAGACGAATCAAATGTAACCAAGCCTAGAAGGTATATTGTTTGAAAAATTAAAAAAATAAAAAACAGGCTTTTAGGTAAGCCTCAGCAAATTATAAAATAATGCCTTTCTATAAATAAATTTAAATGTCTTTTTTTAAATATTTCTTCCACTAATGTTATACAAAAACTTAACAGTGCACTAATGATCCTCTGAATCCCTGAAATGCAGTGTTTAACTTAAGAACGTAAAGCACAGCACATAATAATCAGTGGTGAGAATAATCCCAATCTTCATTCATTCCTTATGTAACTTGTATGACACATGAAACACTACTCTGTGAGCTGCACTGTCTGCTGGTGTGTTTTCGGGTGTTTTCGGGTGCAATTCAAGGTGCTGGTTGTCACCTTTAAAGCCCTTGGGACAGGGCTCTTCTGAGGGACCGTCTTTTTCCAAGAGTTTTGCTCATCCAACTTGACCCAACAGACTGGGCCTCCTGCAGATTTTGTCTGTCAAAGAGTACCAACTGGCAGGAACGGGAAGATGGGCCTTCTCTGCTACAGTTCCTGCCTTATGGAAGGTTCTCCTGTTGGAGATTAGAATTGCCCCAAACCAGATGACCTTTTGCAGGGCATTAAATACCTGGCTGTGTACCCGGTCCTGGGCTTGGAATGTGTGAAGGGCCCCATTGTTTGGCTTTACTATTAGTAGATTAATCACCACAGCTGCGTATTGTACTTATTGATTCTGTGGATGTTTTTATTATTTTAATGTTTTTTTAATTGTTTTAATTGCTTTATAATTTTAGAATTGTAAGCTGTCCAGAGTCACAGGGTTGAGTCAGACAGCTAGAGAAATTGAATAAATAAATAATGAGAGAACTATATAAGATGCTATTTTACTATACTCATCCCAAATATTTAGATCCTATTACCTGTGAAATAAATCCTTCTTTTGTTGGCTTTTGTTTAAACATCCAGGAGTATGATTTTGTTTTAAATAAAATCCCTATTGAAAGTTTGATCAGAGAGAGGGAGGGAGGGAGGGAGGGAGAAAACACAGAACTGTGGGAAGTAAAAAGTAGCCCTATCCTGTATATCCATCACCAACCTTGTCTAGAAATACTGCCAGCTGTGGGATATTAGGAGGTTCACAAACAACAGGAATTCTCTTCATAGAAAAATTGGAAGCAAAACACTGCATCTTTGTCAACTCAAACTGTTTCAAACCTTTGTAAATCCCCCAATGTTACTATTTATAACTGGAGTAGAAAAGGAAAGAAAGCTGGCAAAGACCAAAAGAGAGGAAAGCCAGCCTGATTTTGAGGTTGAAGAAAGCTACCAGAACAAGCTTCTCCAGCAAACCAATCTTAAAGACTAGGATTCAGTAAGCAAAGCTAATTTGATTCCAGCTCCAGAGGATAAGGAAAGAAATTGTTCGCATGTTTATGAGTATGTCTCTCTTCATTTCTGCATAAAGCTGTTTGGAACACTTTCTCTCCAATCATGCTTTAAATATAACTTCCATGTGGCTGTTTCAGTTGTGAAGAGTAAGGAAAAATTATTCCAGGGAGATGTGCACCTTTAGCCAGGTAAAAAAAAAATGTGTTCATTTTTGCACCCATGTAATCAGCCAGAAGATATTTTCTTATTGAAAAAGGATTATAAACTTGACTACATTTGCTTTCTAAGATATTTAGGTACATAAATAAAACATAATGACGCTAATAATCTGCATTATATAAACTACACCAACAAAGCAAATGGTTGTTGCTTTAAAAACCTGGCTAAAATCAACGGCAAATAATTTTTTATTATTATTTTAGATTTTTCATTGTTTTTGTACTCCTATTCCACAAAGATTTTTATAAGTTTATGAGGAAATCTAGTCTAAGTACATTATAAAAAGTAGGTCAATGTAATTTGGTAGCCACAATATAAAAGTAACCTAGCTCACTGAGTTTGGCACAATAAAATTAAATCACTAACAGCTTGCCTAAGGCTAAGTTGGATATTCTACTTTTTTTCCATATGATGCCACAAACCAGTATTAAATTCATTCAACCATATTTATCTTAGAAATATCCTTTCTTTGCTCCTATATAGTATTTAAAAGCCAAGCCACCTACATGCAGTATTTTAAAATACCTATTTACATCTTTATTATTTTTAGATTGCTACACCATGCATCTACAGTGCTTTATATATGTTTATGCTTTATGACTAAGGTCATTAAAGCTAAAGGCCTCCATGGGTAATTTTAAAATCCATCCTCCACTCCATGAACATTGTCATATTGGTCAATATCTTTGTTATATTATATTTGCTTTATCTAACTGAAACCCTGCCTCCCTGCCATATAAATTTGTTTCAGTAATCCTCAACATACATCACAATCAGAACCAGGATTTCTGCTGCTAAACAAGATGCTTATTAAGTGAGTTGCACCCAAATTTATGCTTTTTTGGGGGGGGGCAATGATTGTTAAGCGAATCATTGCAGTTAGGTGAATCATTCAGTCATTAAGCAACTCCAACTTTCTGCATTGACTTTACTCATCCAAAGCCAGCTGGGAAGGTTGCAAGTAGCGATCACATGACCCTGGAGGCTGCAAGTGTTGTAAATACATGCTGATTACCAGGCATCTGAATTTTGATCACATAACCTGGAGGATGCTGTAATAGTTGTAAGTGCAAGTTGATAAACAACTTTTTTTCAGAGCTGTTGTAATTTCGAATGGTCACTAAACAAATGGTTGTAAATTGAGGACTACCTGTACATTTCTTTCTGAGATTGTTCTGAGATTATTGTGGCTGCTGAATAAAATTAAAAAGATTGACCTCTGGTGGATATTTGTCCACGTCCTTTCCTTTGCAATGGAACAAAAGTGGTTTTACATTACCTTCTTTCAGAATGTTTTTTAACTTGCTAGTTTTGCCTTTAGTCTTCAGATTCTCTTCTGGTCTCTAGTGAGCAATTGTTCTCCTTCTTGGAGAAAATCTACATATGTGGTTGAGAGCAGAGGGATCACTCACTGGCAATGTTGCTCTAGTTTAGAGAAAGAAAAATCAGTTAGAATAGATAATTTGTATTACTCTCTTAGAATGCAGAAAATAAATTTAAAAACCAATTGTAAAAAAATAACAGCATAAGCTTCCAGCCTGTGAAAATTTATAACATAATAAACTTCTTATTCTTTATAGCTTTGCAAGACACTGATGTTTCTGCTGTTGCACACAAACATGACAATAGTAAAAATAGGTCACACCAATTTAGCTGTATTTTCTTGACTTCTTATTTCTCGACTTTGCTTTTTTTGAGGGGACATAGTTTCTTTTGGTTTGATTTAGAAATTATCAGTTTTCCTCCTCCAATTTGAAATGCAAAAATCCTGAACTAATTCCTTTAGAAGATGCAATTTATTTCCTTCTCCTATCTAGACACAGTTTTCATTTACTCAGATAATGTTGATGTTCTTTTCCATGCCTATTAGCCAAAACCTTAGGATCCTTTGCTGGTTATAATCCTTTCTGTACATTTCCTAAAATTGCTGACATTAATTTTAGAAGGAAAAAAGAGCAATCACATGATAGCTTAGTTTCAAAAAGGCATTTTCATTATTCAATGAAAAATAAGTTCTTCACCTGGTTGTCAGGCAATGCGGAGCTCAAGCAGAACAAAGATTTGCCTGAAATTTATTCCATTTACTGTTACTTGACCTATTTCAGGCTGAAAACCCTATTTGGGACTGTCTATTCTATCATCTTTTGTATCCAAAACTGTCAATTATTCTGAGTCTCCTGATTTTGTCTTCTCCTTGGGCTTCAATCACATCATCTTTCCTTCTTCTGCCTTCTTTCCAAGTCTCTGTTGCTTGTATTTATACCTTTCACTTTTTCTAATTATCCTATACTGCTACATCCTTTAGCTTTTTTTTTTTTCCTCTCTCATTTATGAACATACAAATTTACTATGAACTTCATGAAAATACTAGGGGCAACGTAACAAAGACCCAACCGGGTGTTAGCATATATCCCTCAATAAAATGTAGAAATATGAAGAAAACCTAACTGAGATGTCAATGGTTGCTTGATTTAATAATAAATGTAAATACTGAATAGATGCAAATGAGAATTGCATTTGGCATTTCAAACTATAAAAAGTGAAAAACAATGGAAGAAATACTTGGGTGTGAATTTGGTGATGGATTTCAAATGGTTTATTGCCAAGTCAGAATGTGAAGGAGGCCTGGACATGGACTGAATGTAGTTGTTTTAGGAAGAAGTGATAGCTAGGGTGGAAAAGTCAAGGACGCTGGCAGATTCCGTGAATAAAGGAGAGAAGGGAAGGCACTAGGAAAACCAGACAGGCAGGTCATGCCTTGTTTTTTGGATTTGCTCCTTGGCACTGGGGAACGCTTCATTCCCATTTTCATTTTACATCTATATCTTTCTAACTCTGATCCTTAATGGCTTTGACTTATGTATTTCTGATTGCTTCACATGGCTTATTTGTAACATAGATAGATAGATGATAGATTGTCTATTTGTTTATTTGTTCAATTTTTATAATTGCCCATCTCAATCTATGACTCTGGGCAATGTCTATGGAGATTCTCAGTCATCCAGGCCATGGTTGTCCCAAAGATGCTTTTTTCCAAAAGGGTTTTTCCTTGAAGAGGTTTTGCTTTTCATTCACAAAGCTCTGAACTGAAGAACTAAGCTTCTTCTTCAGAACTGAAGAAGCTTTTTGGATGAGAAGTGAAACGTCTTCAAGAAAAAACACAGAGAGCCCAGTTGCCTTTTGAAAAAGCGCCTTTGGAACTCTGGGCAATAAATAGAGATACAGTACATAGAGATGATATAGACACAGATATAGACACACAATCATATATAAATATATGTACACGCCTCATATTCATTAGAAGAATTTTTCATCAAATCCAAATCTAATTTAATCTAATTTAAAAATGAAGTCTAACCAAATGCAAGGAGGAATTGTTTCATTATATACAACCATACTCCACAGTAAGGTAAGGTGAGGATATGTTTGGGAGAAAAGGAGAAGCTATTTAAAATAATTAAAACAATTCAATTAAAAATGAACTGACTCTGCACTTCTAGAAACCATTTAATGTGGAATGCTCCACTATAACATCATAAATGAATGGCAGTTCTTACATATGGAATCTTATCAAATCTGAGTAAATTGCATAGCCAGGTTGCATTCCTTTTATTTTCCCCTCATTATTCTGCAAATATGTTTAAAACAGAACTAAATGAATGGATTCTTATTGTAGATGCTGTCTTTATATGCTTTGTGGAATGTATGTACCTATCAGGATGATGTAGTTTGATCTCTGCATGGTTACAACTCACTCCATCAACCAAAACATAGAGGCAGCTGTATAAATCTAGTACCTAAAATGGGATAGGCAATTAAAGTAATTTAAATTACCTTTAGCAACATAATGTTGTAGACTAAAATGAAGAGGAGAAGGAGGATGTGGTGGTGGTGGTTGTTCTGGTGGTTTTGTGGAAGATGTTACCAAATATCTGCAGGAGACCAGTGATGTATGGTGAATGAAGCTGAGCCCAGAAAGGACAACAGAAAATTGGGGATATTCCACGGAATATCTCTGAAGAGATAGTAGACAATCACTTAAACGTGAGACAGCAGTGTGCTGCTGTTAGCAAAAAAGCCAATGCAATCTAGACTGCATTAACATAGAGATAGAATCAAGATCACGTGAAGCGTTAGTACCATTTTAAAAGGCCTTGGTAAGACCACACTTGGGATATTGCATCCAATGTTGTTCACCTTAATATAAAAAAAGTGTTGAGACTCTTGAAAGAGTGCAGAGAAGAGCAACAAAGATGATCAGGGGCCTGGAGGCTAAAACATATGAAAAACAGCTACAGGAATTGGTATGTCTAGTTTAATGAAGAGAAGGACAAGGGGGGACATGACAGCAGTTCCAATATCTGTCGTGATTCCATGCCAGCCTGTGTTCCCAACAGCTGAGTCTGAGGAATCTGAGGAGGAGGTGGAGGAGGCATTTGAAGGGCCATCAGGGTCAGAGGGAGGCTCTGATGAATTACAAGACTCACGGTTTGAAGCAGAGCCTGGGCCCTCCAGTCGTGTTCCTGATGAAGCTCAGTTGTGTGAGGAGAATGAGTCAGACTCGGAGGACTCACACCTGATGGACATGCTAATTGATGCTCGCACACATCGGCAATTAGCAAGAGTAAATCAGCAGCAGTCAATGCAACTACTCCAGGGAAAAAGGAGAAGGCACTGAGAGGCAACGCCTTGGGACTGCTGTATAAAAAGAGGTGGTGTGGGCGGTGCTGGTTGCTGAAGGTAACTGTTTGCAAAGTACTTCATGGGATCCTGTTCTGTTTGTCTTGCCTGTGACTAGTCTTCTGTTTACATCGTGTTTCATGTGGACTATTTCCTTCATTTGGATTGAGTTTGGCTGCTTTTGTTTCTGGACTATTTGCCAGGTTTGTCACCCATATTAAAAGGGGTTTGTTTTGTTTTAAGTCAACAGGGGTTTGGTCCTTGTGCCTTTAACAAGGACGGCTATAGGCTGGGATAGAACAATATCTCAGGGGCTGCCACAAAGAAGAGGGAGTCAAGCTATTCTCCAAAGCACTTGAAGGCAGGACAAGAAGCAATGGATGGAAACTATTCAATGAGAAAAGCAACCTAGAACTAAGGAGAAACTTCCTGACAGTTAGAACAGTAAAGGAGAGGAATGACTTGCCTTCAGAAGTTGTGTGTGTTCCATCACTGAAGGATAAAAAGAGATTGGATAGCCGTTTATTTGAAATGTATAACAGACATGTCAAACACAAGGCCAGGGGGCCGGATGCGGCCCACAAAGTGGTTTCATGTGGCCCATGAAGCCATCCTGGAAACAGTGAGAGAACAGCCCCTGCTGCCTTGGCCCTGGCTCAGGCCAGCTGGGAGCCAATTTTGTGGTGGCCATCTTGGCATTGCCCCGGTCCCACCCCCTTCTGCCAGAGACCCTCAGATCTGTCCCACTCCTGCCCAGGCCCCCACAGGCACCCTTGACAGGAATGATGTAGAACTGACCATGCCCACCCATTAGGCCATGCCCACTCCACACCCACCCAGTAGGCTGCACTCACTCTGGCCACACCTACCCGGCTGCCCAAGGGCAACCGCAATGCTGATGCGGCCCTCAGTGAAATTGAGTTTGACACCCCTGTGGTATAGGGTCTCCTGTTTTTGCAAGGGGGTTGTTCTAGAAGATGTCCAATGTCCCTTCCAACTCTGTTATTCTGTTCTATTCTGTTCTGTTCAAAAAAAAACAAGGGCCCATCCGTTGGCCTCAGAAGCATACCTGTTATTTGGCTCTTCCTCTTCCAGCCTCCTGTATAGTTATTATTCAGAATTGAAAGGTTCTCTTTGAGTACAGAACTGTAAGTTGTTATTTAAACTAAAAAAAAAAAGAATTTCAATATAGTGTTTTTTTGTTTTTTTGAAAAAAAAGTGACATATAAATGCTGCACATAACTCAGGAAAAAGATTTAATTTAAAGTCAGTTTCACTTTGTTTTCATACCTGAATTTTTAAACTCAATATCTTTGGGATCATTTATGAAAAAAAATATAAACATTAAAGAACTGTATTTTTTTTTAAAATGAAACAAAGCAGGACTTCCATAGTGCCAAATTTAATAGGTCCAGCCCTTGTCAGAGAAGAGAGAAGAGAATTTGTCTGACATTAGCAATTAAGAAATGAGGAGTCTAACAGACAACAAAGGCAGCCCCTTAAGTTGGCATCACCAATACAATTGTATATATATAATTTACATACATAGTCCACAAAACTTGAGATGTGCTGAACTGCCACAAACACTATATTTTATTTACTGTTATTTGTTAACCAAAAAAGCAGTGCAGGCCATACAGGAATAATAAAGCTGTTGCCCTGCTATAGATTTTGTCATCTATTTGTCAATGTCAATTTATTTTGTGACTTTTATTCAGAGTATAGTGGTAATATAGAAAACCGAATATGTAATTTAAAAGGCGAAAGCTCTTCTTTCCTCTCTTGCAAACATGACATATTGCTGTGATATATCAATTGATGCATCCTATTATTGTCAAAGATTTTGTCAAACGAAATGTTGTTAAGGTAAGGAATGTATTATCCAGCAGCAGCATTCATGCCACGCATTGCAGTACAACCCATTAGTCAAATAACAGAAAAGATTAACAAACAGAAAACTGTGTTCTGGTTAAAATAAATAAACAAACAATTGTTAATTAGGTTGAGGGTTATAAGACCAGGGAAGGTGCCAATAACTGAATTCAAGATTCTGGTTTATTCAGTATCCTGCAGGTAATGAGGTGTTTACAGGCTGCCTTGCACAGGTGCATATTTATGTATGGAAAGTGTCAACTTTTGTAGTAATTTATCTTCTTTGGCTGATGAGATGTGGCATGCAATTTGGTACTCTTGACAGCTCCGTTAGCTAAATGTCACTGGCCTGCATTAAAAAAAATTGAAACAACAAGGGTTAACTTAACACCCACAGTATCAATCACTTGGCCTTCTGTAAAATGATGCCTTCTATGCGTAGCCTACTTCTGCCAAACCTGTGTGAATTTGTTTGTAAAAGGGAAAAAGCAAGCAATAGGAATGCAACTTTGCCACAAGAAGCAAACTATACATTAAGTTCACAGGAGCTTTTGTGAACTACTCAGTAAGTAATATAATTCTTTTGGGGCACTATTGGCTTAGCCAATAGTGGGAGCTCCCCTAAATTGTTTTATAGGATAAGAAAGAAGTGGGACCTTTTCTTCCCTTCAAGTAGAAAAAAAAGTGGTCCAGAGGTATTTTAAGATCCCACTACCCTTTCTGAGGTTCTTGGATTAAACCTTTGGGGTATGCCCATACATACAATAGATTACACAGTATAGTAAATACAAACAGTTCAGCTTCTAAGGGGACCTAAAGGTTTATAAACTGTGCAAATTAGTGGAAGGACAAAAGGGGTGTGCATTAGAAACCAAATAGTTTTTTTCTCTCTTTTCCTTTTTAAAAAAAAAACCCTTTTTCTTGTTTATTTTGTTTATATTTGTCTTCTTTAATATGCACAATAATAATAACACAGTGGAGATATCAGTATTAATTATTCTGTTTAAGACAGAAATACTTTGATGTAATTTGCAGTTGTTTATTAGTACTATGTTTAGCTTTGGGTGTAAAATTTAAATAACCTTTTCTTATCAACATCAACATATCAAATCATGGTTAACACTGATGTAAACCTCTTCTTTTTCTCTCATCATCAAAGATTTATGTTATCTAAACATTAGAATGTTAATACTCTCTAGTCAATACTGAATAAATGCCACGTTATTGAAGTAATATAATGTAATATATGATAAAACAAATAAATCTAATTTTAGTAATATCAACGGAATATAATATTTTCAGGTTCCTGCATTTGATTTTGTGAAAGATATACCGTAGTCTTTGCTTTAATCAAGCTCTATGATTTTTTTCCTTAGTATCTAGGTTATTCTTAGCCCAACCTTTAGGTCTTTTGTACGTGTATGTTTGTGCACACTTTCAAGTCATACTCTGACAACTTCCTCCACAAGTCTTTTTATATCTGTTTAATTCAGTACTAATCACAGCATGTTAAAATACTATATAGTATATAAGAAGGTCTTTGGAATAGATGTTCCTGGTCATCAGATTCTATCTATATATAACAAGTATATTCAAATATCTTAACGTATTACAAACCAACAAACAATTTAAAATTATTTCACAACTCAGAATGTTCTATTCTGTTATTGTAGAAATGAAATTCAGTATTTATGAACTTATGGAAAGTTATGTGGTTTTTGTTAACACTAGCCTCAAAAATCTAGTAAGCATGCCATCTAAGATTTACAGAGAGGGGGAAGGGAAGGGAAGGGAAAAGTCCACTCTAGCACCAACTGGACCATCTCCTCCCTATCTGTACCCCATACAAAGAATATGGTCATCAACTCTCTCTTGTGGGAACAATACCAGAGCACCATTTCTTTTTGTTAAAAATGTTTCTGGTGATTTTATTAGTAATGTTATCTCTAAACTGCACCCATTTGTATATCTGCTGCACATGCTCACATGAAAATTCAGTGCATGCATGGATATCTCTTAAAGAATTATGACAACAATAGGGTAGTTAAGCAAAATCTCAGAGTACAGATGGATCTGTGAAAAGACATCGTTGATTTATTACAGGCAAATGAACTCAAGCGCAAGCCACATTCTAGGGGAATTCAACTCAAACATTAAAACAAGGATACTATTAGATCAGGAAAATTGTAATTATGCATGAAATGCAATAAACATGAAAAAGACAATAAATACCATTTGATCTGAATAATATTGGCATCTTTGAGAGTCTTCAATTAGGATACTAAGTTGATAACATTTAAATCAGTGTTTCTCAACCTTGACAATTTTAAGGCATGTGGACTTCAACTCCCAGAATTCCACAGCCAGCAATGCTGGCTGTGGAATTCTGGGAGTTGAAGTCCACATGCCTTAAAATTGTCAAGGTTGAGAAACACTGATTTAAAGTATAAGGCTGCTGACTGGTAAAGCCATGGATTGTCCAGCTTTTGGGAAGAGATATGGAAAGTGAAATCTAACAATGACCTAAAAGCAGAACTGGGAATAATTGTAACTAAGACAAAATCTCCAGAAGTGATATTTCCATCTTCTAGAACCTTCAAATTCTCTTACACTAAAATAAGCATAATGAGGAGGGACATTTCCTTGTTTCAAACATGGCTGGCTAATGCTAAAATACACTATCAAGCACTACAGAGCATTCTGCTGAAGAGAAGGGATTGACGACAAATATTGGAGATAAGAAAACAGATGTTGAGTTCCAAAGGTGCTTTTTCAAGAGGCAACTGGACATTCTTGTTTTTCTTTGAAGACGTTTCACTCCTCATCCAAGAAGCTTCTTCAGCTCTGACTGGATGGTGGGAAATAGAAGGATTTATATTTCTTGTAGATAGCTGGTCATTTGCATTCTTTAGAGAGTCATTGAGGCCATCTGGAGGTTTATCTGTGTCCTCAAGGTCACCTGAGTAGTGCAAATGGTTGTGGAGCATTCTTGGAACTGCTGAAAGGAACTCCTGAAATGTTGAGTCTCTGATGAAAAATAAATGAAAGAAAGCCTACCAAAGGGGCTAATTGATTTATACACCAATTAGAAGAGAAATAATTGCAAAAGTACTGTAAGAAGAATCCAGAGAAATAAATATTTTGGGAAATATTAAAAAGGCAGAATATATTTCCCCAAAGGACTATAAAGGCAGAAACCCCCCCCCCCAAGTCTCTCCGCACCAGACAGAAACCAGGTCTGCAGAAATGCAGATGTTGATAATCTTGTCAGAAAGATTGAGTTCAGAAGCTGGATTAGAAAGAAAAGATACCTATAATCAACAATTCCTCACACCAAAAATTCCAACAGTCATCACCCTGCCCCAGAGAGGAAGGATATACCTTTGGGACATAATAGATTACCCACCCATCATCAGAATACCAGAAGGCACACTCAGACTCAGGTCAAAGGTACACACAGAAAATACAAACTTTAACAGGACAGGAAATAACCTCAAGAGCACCAGAGTATAAAACCCCACCATTCCTGCTACATGTGTCATTCTTTTTCCAGAGGGCCATCATTCTGTCCTGGCTCTCCTTCTTCAATAACTACAACCTTCTTTCTAGAGCAAGTCTCCATTTGGTTTATTCCCAGCTTGGACTGGACCCTGATGAAGATTTTTCTTCAACAGTACTTTAGTATGGATAATACAATGTTGTCCAGGGGGGTAATGAACATCTGCAAGAAACAACCAACTCAGAGCCACCAAGGACCCTCACAGTTCACCTGTAGCTATGAATACTCTGTCTTCTAGTACTTCAGTCTGTGTCTACTGGCCTGAATGCAAGTGGTGCTTAATAATGTTTTTGGAAAGGGAAAGTTTCACACCAATAAAAGTGGCCTCCAGGTTGAGCATAACTCCTAGTGATTCCCTGGACACGTCGATGTACTTTTGTAGCAGCAATACTTTTTTTCCCGCTGCTTTCTTTGAAGATTGTCTTTCCCAATCCGCCTACAATCGGTATTTCCTGGAAGCTTCCTATCCTGCTTATTACCAAGCCTAGCCTTGCTTAACTTCTGAGAGCAACAGGATTTGTGCAGCATCAATCCACCCTTTTTGAGACCCAAGGAAAAGAAAGAAGAAAGAGATTAAAAAGTGCAAGGTGAGGAGACTTCACTTCTGAACTAGAAGGACAAATTTGGGAAAAAAAAAGAAATGAGGATGCTTTGGTGCACAGCCCTGATTTGGGCAGTTGAGTTAACAAGAAATGATTCACCTGTGAGAAACTGACACTACTTTGAAATTTAGACCTATAGGAAAGTTTTTTTTTTT